CTGTTCTTGGTGCTATTTGGGCATCATTGTTGTAAAAATAGATATATATTTGTTGCCAGTGTGGGCGTCATTATCAACAAGGTGTGCGTTTGTTCAGATTTAATTCAGTGTAAATTTCACGAGGTACAGTATACGTACAGGAAAAGAGTTTTATTACATTGAGCTTGATGCTGATTGATATCCTCTAACCAGATGGGAGGTTTTTTAAATTTAGTAACCTCCTTTTCAAGAGAAGACCTACTTTTTAAGTAGTACATATTGTCAGCACCTTTTATGAACAAATTTCTAGCACTGCAACAACTGTTGTTAGATGTTGTTGTGGGAGGGCATGAGCCGGGGATACACACTGCTTTATAACCACTTTATAACGACAGCATACTGTAATGTGGATGCTTTCATGTTCTAATAGTTGGCACGATGTGCTTGCAATCCAGCTGTCACCTGATCGATCTCCCGGTGTGGCGCTTGAAACAATGAGGGCGAGTTTTTGTTGTTTTAAATGCCCCCAACCCCTAACTGCCAACCTCTGTCCACCCAGGGTTATAATACGGGTAGCCCACAGTCAAACCGCAGATCACGTGTGGTGGATGCAAGCGTGGGTGACACCCGCCTCTTCCACGAGGACTGGAGAACGTGGAATATTATGCCAAACTACCCTCTCGAAAGAGAGTAACGGTGGGCATTACCGGTACATTTCATGGTCACTACTGCTGCTAACATCATTAACACCTCTATCGCGCACACAACTTCGACACATTCCGAGCGTCAACAATTTGAACGTGAAATATGTCTTTATTTTTTTTTTTAAAGAAGGATTCCTGCAGACATTTTCCACAAGGGTGTGGCCGGCTGTGTAATGAGCGCACGAACTCACATCATGGGGCCTCCCTTGCCAGTATCAAAAAACAAGGGATAGGTTTTAACCTTGCTGGCAATAGAACAGGTGTTAAGACGTTAGAACACCAAACGGAAACCTTTTTCAAGGAATCCTGTCCGCATTGACCACATGTACTTGTGGTGAACATGCAAACAAAAAAAACTTGAACACTATGAGACCTCCTTTACCAGTGGCAAAATATAGTAATAGGTTTTTACCCTTTCAACTGGTACAACACTGACACCTTTATACAAGGGATCATGTTTGCAATAACCACAACACAAGCAGTCAAAATGCAAACAAAAAGAAACAACTCTGATAATGATATGCACTGTCCTTGAAGTTGATTGGTCCACACCCGAGACAGCTTTTTCTTAGAGCCTAGTCTCCATTGGTGTTGGACCAGATGTCGCCTTTTGGCGAACTCTCACATGCTGCTCTGAGCGGCTCGAGTTTAGGTGAAGATCTCACCTTGGGAAAGCTCTCCCGTATTCATTCAATCACCACGGGATTTTTTTTAAATTGCCACACCGCAGCGTATACGCAGTTAAGGCTTATGACATGGATTCATAATTAATTCCCTTTGGGTCAGATCGTCACGTGGGTAGAATGTCAATTAAAAAAACTACAACCCACCACTACCCGATCGAGCTAATAAAATCGAGTTGTCACGTGGCAAAATATTCCACATTGATTTGGTTTATCAGCGAACCGGTGTTGAAAAGCAAGCAAAATGTAGGCATTGTACATACACGGTCTAACCCAAATTATGAATCATAATATGGGTCATGAAAGCCCATGATTAAAATTAACCCTCCTACATTACTTTGCAAACTTGTTCGCTAAACTCCCCTTCACGGCTTACTGGGATTCCAGTATTTCATGCATATACGATGGCGTTTCAGTTTCTCGATGATATAAAGTGCTGCTAAGCGTGCCCTTTCGTGATTCGCCCGCTTTCGGTTAAACTTATTCATTTGCTCGAGGGTCACGAGTTTGTTCAGGAATCTATTTATTTATTGTTTATATCGTTGTGAATGTAGCGGCCTGTAAGTGGATGCAGGGATCACTTCAACATTTTTACTGGTAGGAACCTCCTGGTTACACCAGCCCACAGGGGATTATTCTGTCCGTCCGTCGTGCATCCAAAAATGGGAGGGGTGGGGCTGGGTGGAGAGGGGAGGGTGGGAGGGGCTGGGTGGGGAGGGTGCGGAGGGTGGGGAGGAGCTGGGTGGGGAGGGTGGGGCTGGGTGGGGGGTGGGAGAGGTGGGGCTGGGTGGGGAGGGGCTGGTCACCCCGTGGTGCCCTTATAAAACTCAACGTTTAACCTACTCACGCCGGCTTGTCGGGTATATTTGCGGAATACACCACGCCGCCGTTGACCCTGGCCATTGACCGAGCAACCCAAACAGCTCCCTCCGCAGCAATGTGTTACACACAATGCTTACGAATGGGAAAACGCCTCGATTCTGAGACGCGTGATTTGATACATTTACCCCGCGATAATGAAATCGACGTTGATCGACGGTAATTCGATGCAACATTAACCTTCGATTATCACGGTTGGCTACGTACGGTGCGAAAGAAGTTCAGCATACGTACACACAAGGCCGTTCGTGCGTGGGTTAGAAGAGATTATGTGGCCAATGCCACTCCCAGCTAGCTGCCTTCATTTCCCACTGCTAATGTTGACACACTGCACCAGGATTTAGCGCTCAAATTCAGTAGGCGTTGTCATGGAGCATCACGGGCAAAATCAAATATACAAATGCTTCCGGATTAATATGACATCTGAAGGTACAGCAGCATTTGTTCAACAAGTCTGGGTCTCACTGATGAGACCAAGAATATAGAAGCTTGACGCAGGCTTTGCTCACTTAGACAAATGCTACTTGATAATAGCCGTCTGGAAAGCCAAGAGGCTAATGGACTCACACGTGTTGCATTTAAATGTAGAGACACAGAATGGAGTTTTGCTAATACAGCATTTGCTTTTAACCAGGATTGAGTGCCGTGCAACATCGGCCAGATTTGGGCCATGTTCAAGTCCCATTGGCCATTGTCGTGTGTGTGTGTTGTGCGTGGTCTAGCATTGGACCCAGGAATATGGAGATCGTAGTGCAGAGTACATATTTACCACACACACGCACGCACGCACCTCACCACTGGCTTATATCAATCGATCCAACTTTATTTCTATAGCACTATTCGTGCAAAAAAATGCAAAACATAGTGCTTTACAGGCATGAACAATAAATGTGAAATTGTACGCAAAATGAAATCACGTTGTAACACATTTCTAGCAAACACAAAACAAATAACACATTAAGAAAATCCTAATCAAAATACAGTAAAAAAAGTAAGTTTTTAGATTTATTTTAAAAGTGCTTAATGATTCTGATGACACAACAACTAAGTGGCGGTGACGTCACCACGACGCTTGTGCCAGGCTACGTGCACCTTGAAGCCACGTGAAGTGTCGAACGCCCCAGCTGGCAGGAGGTCACTGGGCAGTCCCAGGTGCCACGGGTCGACTGACTGCGCTGACTGAGATGATGACACGCGTGCACATGCACAGACAATACTGTGTACGGTCATTGACCTGTCGTTTTGGTGGGACCACATCTGTGTCTATGTATCATCCATCGATCCCTTAACGCCTATCAAGGCAGCGGGTGTTTACCTGAGTGCGTGCAACCAAAATAGCAGCGTTGACTTCAGTGCAAGCTGTCGCAAGAGTCAACTCGAGTGTAAGCTGTACATTAAAAAAAACCCCATTAAATCACAGGGCCGGTTGACAAGATAACAATCTGCTTGCTTGCTCACAAAAGGCTCAACTCGGCTACACAAACAAGGATGTTACTCTGGCGGTCCTTCGGTGTCACTGCCTTCTTAAGCCGTGACTTTTAATACTGGGGTGAAACCTCAGCGTGCTCAAAGGTGTACTTTGAATTTATTTGTTACGTTCACAATTGCAAACACTCTGAGATTATCTTCTTGGTTCTTTCTAAAGAACCAAGAAGATGAATCCCTGCAGTCACGAAAGCTTTAAATCGAAACTCTAAGATTATTTACGTTGTTGTTGATTGATTGATCAAAGATTCAAATAAAGGGGCCGGAATGTCACACCACCGGAATCGATCGGCGAATGAAAAGGAAGGGCTGTGGATGAGTCGGGGTGCGAATCAGCAATTGTTTGGTGGGGTAAATTAAAGTTTGACGTTCGGGAGAATACATTTCTCTGCATTTTTGCGCGCTAAGTTGAAAACGGGAAGGGAATTCGTTGCTTTGGACCCAGCCCCCCTCTTCCTTCTTCGTACCCAGCCAGCCAACCACCTTGCCACAGCCACGCACTCACTGCCCGAGCAGACCAAACGCGTGAACTCCCAGGGAGGGGCTCCATCATCCGACCCTCCAAAACTACCCCCACCACCACCACCACGGGCACCACCACGCCTTACTCTCGACAGCCCCAAGCTCGACCCTCCCTCCTCCTCCGCCTTTCGTTCCCTCCCCACCCTCCAGCTGCCCCCACCGCTGACAGAACCATCCCGATCGCTCTGCCTCTGCTTGCGCAGCAGCAGCAGTCGTGCCTCTTCTCTCCTCTCTCTCTCTTCTTTATCGGTGGTGGCCTGGGACAGGGCACCCACACCACATACAGTGTGCGTTTTAGACATTTCGAAGCTGCGCTGGTCACTTGCCAACCCAGCCTGGAAGCACTCCTCCTCCTCCTCCACCTCCTCCCTGTCTAGAACAACGAGAGTTTGCGATTTATTTTTAATAATTTCCGCGCGGCTTGTTTTTTTTTTCACCTCCCTCCCTCCCCAACCCAACCCACCTAATTCCACTCTGCGGAGCAAGCGCTGTAGACGTTACACCTCCACGTTTTTAGCCAGCCTGTTTGCTGCTTGCTGCTGCTGCTGTTGCTACCGCCGATTCTACTGCTGCCCTGTGGACATCACCGGACCGTGCAACGCATTTTTTGCCTGCAAGGCGTGAGTAGAACTTGACCCGGACTCCAAAACTTTCTTTTGAGAGCTGTGAAAACTACGTTTCGCGGAGGGGGGAAGGGGGGTGGTGGTGGTGGGCGCCTTGCTCAGACTAAACTGTGGTCTGCTCGTGGCAGATTTCCTTCGGTTTCACGCATTCCTGAGCAATCGCGGAGACGTTGCATCGTAAGGCGTGTACAGTCGTGGTTGTCAGCCTGGGCTGTCACAAGCGTTTGAATGGATCGCGGCAGATGCCACTCCCAGCAGTTTGTTGTCGCTCGTAGGCAGAACTTTTGAGGGTTGAATGTTTGAATGCAGGCGGCGTTTTGTATGAAAGTTAGTTTTGAAAGAGCTGGTGGGGCATTTAAAGCAGTTCGCTGCTCGAGTGCTGAACTTTTCATTGAAGAAGTACAAGTTGTAAAGAGGGATTTTTTTTTAAATAAATAAACTCATCGACACAGAAGTATAAGCGACGCAAATTTCACCCACGCTAAATTCCACCGACAGTCATTGTTCTCAAAATTCAACATTTTCTACCGAAACAAACGTAGATTTTTTTTCATTTTGAGAAACCCAGCAATTGCTTTCCAGTTGATTGGCCCCAGCAACTCAAACCATCTCATTCAACATGGCTGCTGGAATGCTCATGCCTTTGGACAAGCTGAGGTCCATCTACGAGGCCCTCTTCCGCGATGGGGTCATGGTGGCCAAGAAGGACCGCCGGCCCGACAGCATCCACCAGGAGCTCGTCGGGGTCACCAACCTCCAGGTGTCGCGCGCCATGGCCTCGCTCGAGTCGCGCGGCTTCGTGCGGGAGACCTTCACGTGGCGCCACCACTACTGGTACCTGTCCAACGAGGGCATCGGTTACCTGCGAGACTACCTGCACCTGCCGCCCGAGATTGTGCCCGTGACGCTGCACCGCGTCCGTCAGCCGCTGCCGGCCTCCCTCCCGGGCCGTCGGCCGCAGACCGGGCCGCTGGGCGCCGGACGGGGACGGGGCACGGCCAAGGCCTACGGAGGGGACGACCGCGAGAACTACCGCTCGGGCACGCAGGCCCAAGCGCAGGCAAGGGCCATCCCCGAGGGGAAGGACGGAGGGGCGAGCGTGAGGAAGGTGGAGAGCGCCGGGCTCGGCTCCGCGCAGAGCTTTGAGTTCCGGGGCGGCTACGCACGCCCGGGCCGTGCCAGCCTGCCACCCGCAAAGGCGGTGGAGGATGACGGTAAGTCGTGGCCCGCTGAGGGCTCTAAGCGGATATAATTTGCGGGGTGTCCCCGCCTTTCCATTGGTAAACACCTGGCGAGATGACAGAAGAGATATTAACGAGAGATAGAGATTCTTGTGAGATGATAGAACTGTAAACGAAAGAGTGATGCATTCATAATTGGTGCACCCATATTTTCCAAGAATCCTGGACTTCCTTGAGCTGTTTGGGGCCCTATGCATTTGCCTTTGGTTTGCTTATGCCGAGCGCCACCACTGGTAAGTCTCCTCTGGTGAGACGAACAAGTGAACCGTAACAAAAAGAGACTCGGAAATAAACACACGTTCAACTTCTAACAGATCCCTCTGTGTGGAATAGGTGTCAGTGGTCACTTGAATGAGTGATGCCGGAGCACGTGGTCGCCATATTTGTTTCTAATTGAGGCCATGATGACGCTTGAAAGGGCAGTTTAATTTTAGGCCTCGGCTTTCCAAGAAATTATTGAGATGTGCGTGGATGAGAATAACTTAGTCAATGAAAAATCTTTAACTATAAAAAGAATATCCTATAAACACTGGTTTGGAAAAGTATAGTTTCAGTGTTGAAAGCATCAGTTATATTTTCTGAAATTTCTCAGTCAACTTTTATATAAGATTCTGTGGATAATTTTGTTTTAACCAGTGCTGGAAATTTGTAAGATTGTAATCATGATTAAAGGAGGCAGACATGATTCAGACTAAGGCACCAGAGCAGTTATAACAAATTTCGACTGGATGTGGTATGTAGATTTGGCTTTGCAGAATAACACAATACTAACCACTTCATGGAGAGGCCACATCATTAAAATAAAATTAAACTTAAAACTGTTTGTGTAGGGCTACAAAATGTCTTTTGGACTTCTTTTGGGATCATGTAATCCAATGGTGTCCATTCACGTTCCTTTCAGAATTCAAGTTTAATTCATTTTAATTCTCCAACAGGGTCATGTAAATTGAATGAGTTGTCTTGTGTTTTTTTTACAAGTACAGTACATCAATTAGCACAGATATAAAATGCAATGATGAAAAGTTATAATTTTACGAGTAGTTTTTTCCTCCGTGCACCTATGAAACATTTATCTTTTTATTGAAAAAAGTACCATTTAATTAAAAGTAAACAGTCATTGTAGGACATTAGAGATATGTCCTATTAATGAGAACAACACTTCTTTACCCAGAACACTGGAAGGAATAGTGGCCAACAGCATTCCTCACAACCAGAAAGGGCACCAGTGGTTTACTTTGGGCTCGAAGTCAACCTACAGAAGGCCTTCGCTAGGTTCAGAGGTCAATTTCTGCTAAATGAACAGAGGATGTCCGAATTGTGCAAGATACCTACAGAGACTGAGTGTGGGTTTCCATCTGAGTGCCTGCCCACAACTGTGCTGTGGCATGGCACCGCTCTGTAATTTTTCAAGCAGTCACGCAAAACTGACAAGCCAGAAAGTTGGCTTGGCAGTCAATACGTTGTGGTTGTATATCTGATGGGTGTGCCAAGTGGACATGCTTGGTCTAGAAGAGGCAGTTACGTTTCCTAATGCCTCTATAATGTGTGAAATGGTCTGTGCATTTCGGTTTCAGTGTTTCGGAATGGATGAATTCAAGGTAGCCATACTTTACCCCATTTCTAGCGAGCAACACAATGTAATGAATACGTTATATCTACTTACTACTTGATTAATAGAGACATTGTCACATGAAGGCACCCAACTGTGGATTCAACTGCCAACACCAGGAATTGAGAAAGGTGCTTTGGGTTTGTTATCTCGATATTTGTCCACTAAAACATCACTTTTTGGGAAAAGGCATGATTTTATTTGGTGCATATTTAATTATTTACAATTAGTTTTCATTGAAGTTTATTTCAGACACTTGGCCATCAACAGGTGTAATTAAAGACAAATCTGTTGTTCATTAACATTGTACACAGTACATCAAATAATTGCATGTTTAAAAAAAATTTAATTCTGCTCCAAAACATCAACATCACTTTCTTTTCCTAAAATTTCCCCCGGGGATTTGACATTCAACTCAACAGAGGTTCATAACTTAGGCCATCCGCCTAGAAGGAGGGGGACGACGCTTCCACAGAGCACATGGCATTCCAACTTGAAAATGCCATCCATGAGTGGTCTGGACAGCATTGCCACCACGCAACCCTTATGCGTGTCACTGGAAATGGGATTCCCTGTCCAGGGGGCCCACAGTGGAAGCCAAGTGAGTCCATGCCTCTTGTAATCGTCTAATGCAGGGATTTGCGATGCTAAGTCCCGTGGGCCAGACAGTAGTCAATCTTTTCCACGTCAGCCAATCCACCGGGCCGTTTGCCCGCAAAGAGAGTCGCGAGTGCATTCCGCGGACCCGTGACAAACACAATATACAATTATAATTTCATAACTGACCTTTATTTTAATCAGATGCAATAAAACACATTTCAGGAGGCTGTATATTATGTGTAGTCGGGGATTAATTTATCGCTTCATATTTTCCAGAACGCTGCCAGGCTGGTTCGGAGTAGGGATTATCAGCGTAAGGCACTACCACTAGCGTAAAAGCGACGCTATCATGAATAACCATATGCGATTGAACCCTATAATCCTTATAACCATAGAGACACAATCATATATATCGTGAGGATAAAATAAGGCGAGATGGATGAGGCATGCCAAAATCATTCCAGGAACAATATTCTAGTCTGTTCCAGATGAAATTGGGCACTGCTTACAGTATGTCCTCCACTAGATTGCATTTAAAAGTGCAACATGAAACATTCGTGAATTGACATTGAAAAACGAATCTGAAAAATGCTATGCAGGTTAACCAGTATTTTGTCCCATGGGCATTCGAAAACATCCTGCATGCTCTGGGCCTGTCGATGGTCTGCGCCGGCCCGCTGCGGTCTGTTTGATTGCTGCCAACAGGGCTGGTGACAAATGAAACGGAGTCAAGTCCAGGCGCAATATGTGCGTAACAAACATCATGTAAATACAGCTTGTCCTAGCAGCGACCACAATCCTGAGTGTTTTTTCGGTCAGCATCTATCATTGTGGGATATTCGTCACATCTTTAAAAGCCCGCACACCAGCACGAAAGTCAGATCGGTGTGAACAGGAGAGGTGCTCAGGGTTATTGTTTTGTTATCTCATGTTTACCAGCATTTGTTAATTGGCGGTCACCAAAAGTAAAATCTAGTTACTTTATACAAGTTGGACAGTGAGTGGAATAAAATAAAATAATGAACGGATTATTGTTTTAACATACCAGATAGTCGTTGAGCCTAGTTGTAAAACGGAACAGGAAAATTCTAATTTTCATGCAGTTTATCTCACTTTGCTTAATTGTGCTTAGTATTTTGCCTAATTGCGTTTCTCAAATAACCAGAGTTTGTATTCAATTTTCTCTGCAATCGGAGGTTGCCTTCGGCGATTTCACTATTATTGCGCCCGCTGCACTCAGTCAACTGTGCTTGTAGAATCGTATTTCTGAATTCCTCGTCAATTGGAAGCTTTGAGCCCCAATGAATCCTGGTCAGAGCGAGGTGTACATTGAAAACAAAGTCCTCCTCCCACACGGTGAGCTTATAACTTTGTACGTGAGACTTGTATAATTTTGAAAACATATCTTAGTTATTGTACTTTTTTAAAAAATGTGACATGATTCATAACTTTTACATGGGCACAATATTTGCTGCTTGTGTCGATGAACTTTACGTATGAATATTAGCAGAACGAATGTTCCTGAATGCTCGTGTGATATTTGGATTTGCGCAAATGTATTGTTTTAGTTTTGCCAAATATATATTCCTTTGTAATGGGCTCAGGGATGAGAGGGAGCTCCGTTGGAAGATTGGCAGCCTCCGTTTTATGAGATACAAGTTCAAATCCCGGCCATCATCTTCATCCCGCCTTGGTCAGTAAAATAAGAACCATCTGGTGAGGCTGTACCCACGAGGGCCAGGCACATATCGAGAGGCTGGATCCTGCCTCAGGACCAGAATTTCCAACCGCTGGCTCAGGTTGACCAATCGATTTGAGCTCCACCAAAAGTTTGTATGTGGGTATGTTGCACACAGGCCCAACAACTCTCGCGTTATTTGGGTGCCGGTTATTTTCATCCTGGGATTAGACCAAGTATTTTGTTATACAGCGAGACAGTAGCATTCTCTTGTGAACGATGCCAAATAAACCTTTTTTTGTTATTCTTAGCAGGTGACCACGCTAATATACGCAACAGTACGGTTGAAACCCTGACCAGTTGCTCTGTAACGAGGCCCAACGTCACAGTGCAATATTTTATATGCAGTACATTTAAAAAAGGCAGATGCACGCAACGGCCAATTAAGAATGCCCCTGAGCACTGCAAGGAGACGTCCTGGCATCATTACGTATTCCTTGAGCAGTCAATCAGACACTTACAACTGTTACATCAGCTTGCCTCAGTGCAGTGTGGTCTTGACCAAAGATGGACAACAGTACCCCTGGTAGTAAAAAAAAAAACCCAACCCGTTATGTCCAGCGCTGGGGGTATTTATTTAATTTCCGCTAGCCTGTAATTAGTGCTAAGTTTAGTTTGCGAGATTTCAAGGAGACGGTCCCTGGCCGCTGCCAATTTCTTTCGCTCTAGTGGCTGCTTGCTCGACTCGTTGCTCGTATCTCTCCCTGTGGCTGGGGTGGGGTCGATGGCGCTTATGTGAACGTGAACCTGCCCGACTGGCCGTGACAACGTTGGGTTTGACAGGGTGGCTGCCAACAGCAGCAGCAGCCTTGCACATCGCTTATACAAGCCAGCGGTGGCCTGAGACCACACACACCCTTACGCTCAGTTGAACAACACTGTCGCATTGCACGCGATTGCATTTATTGGCTTATGTGTCTGGTTTGGGGTGGGGAGGGAGGTTCTTTTTGTTGTTATAAATTTATGCATTCTATCGGTTTAAATGGAATTAATCAATGAACACGCACGCGATAATTGTGCCAACGT